GATTCAACACTAGTGCAGGGAAGGGAATGGAGGGCCTGTGTTATAATAGAAGGATGCCCCGCAGGCCATTTACTGAGCAGAAGCTCCACCTCAAGAAGGATGAGTGTCTTTGTGTAGGCAACGTCTATGTCTGCGTTGCCAACTGAAGTATGAGCAGATGGGGAAAGGAGGAAGCGGGAGCTTCCAGGACCGTGAGTTCAGGTTCCAAGGAAAGGGTCAGGCTAGGAGATCTGGATGACATAGAAGAGCAGCTGCTGGCGGAAAAGGATGTGAGAGTTGGGTGTAGTGCCAGTCTCTCAAACTGGTCCAAAGAGAGACTTCCAGACCTCTGCACGGGAGGTCGAGTCAGCAGCCACTAAACCCCAAACTTGGTTGTGGTGTTGACACAGCCTGAGGCTGCTGGCTCTGCAGAGTCACTGGTTTCGACGCTCAGGCAGGCTTGCAGCTGGCTCACATGGTAGAGCTTCTTCCAGCATCCTGTCCTGGGAGCCCTTTCCTTCCTGGGTTTGCACCTGTGAGGACTAAAGCTTGGGAGGACAGTTTTTTTCTTCCTACCAAACTTCAACCTGAAGGTCCTGCTAGTCCCGAGTCAGGGGTGCCTTATATTATTTCTGGGGCTGGAGTCCTTGCTCCAGGCTTCAAGTTGTTTCCAGCTTGTGGAATTAAAAACAAAACAAAACAAAACAAAAAAATCCCTAAAGATGTAAGGTGACATTCGTGTTAAGAAGACATAATATTTAGACTCAAAGCATTCTAAACCAATCTTGTCTAAGGAATATCTGGCCCAAGTATCTTAGCAATATTTACTCACTTTCCTGAATTACCTCCCACAACTGTCCTTTCAAAAAAGGACAAGACACAGAGAAACCCTGTCTCAAAAAACAAAAAAACAAAAAAAAAAGGAAAAGAGCTGGGTGGTGGTGGCGGCACACGTCTTTAATCCCAGCACTCGGGAGGCAGAGGCAGGCAGATCTCTGGGAGTTTGGGAGTTCGAGGCCAGCCTGGTCTACAGGAGCTAGTTCTGGGACAGGCGCCAAAGCCACAGAGAAACCCTGTCTCAAAAAACCAAAAAAAAAAAAAGAGAGAGAGAGAGAGAGACTGGAGAGATGGCTCCGTGGTAAAGAATGCTATGATCTTGACGAGGAGCCTGGTTCAGTTCCTAGCAACCACGTGGTAGCTCACAACACACCCAGTTCCAAGGGGTCAGATACCTCTCTGACCTCTGCAGGTTTCGGCCCAATATGGTGCACATACAATATAACTCACACAGGCACACAAAATAAAATTAAAAATTAAAAAAGAGCCGGGCGGTGGTGGCGCACGCCTTTAATCCCAGCACTCGGGAGGCAGAGGCAGGCGGATCTCTGTGAGTTCGAGACCAGCCTGGTCTACAAGAGCTAGTTCCAGGACAGGCTCCAAAACCACAGAGAAACCCTGTCTCGAAAAACCAAAAAAAAAAAAAAAAATTAAGAAAGAGAAGCTGTTTTGACCTGGGCTGTGTTTAGTAAGTTCTGGGGTGCCACACCCCCTTTCCCCGAGTCAGTACAGGACATACCCAGACACCAAATTCTTAGGAGGGGCAAGTAGGAGGGGTGGCTACAAAGGCAGACAGCAAGCAGTAGCAGCAGCAAGAAGGAAAGTAGAGTCAAAAGGGCTGGTGTCTCTGTAGGAGTGGGTTTTTAAGGAGAGAAAGAGGAGTTGTTCTAGACTGAGTTGGTAAGACCTGATTGGACATGTGAGCCAAATAATGAAATTTGATTGTTAGACCTTGGTATTTTGTCTCAGGAATGAGCCAGTGTCCAAACAAGAGAGTGGACCTTGGGGTCTAGTTTTAGGAATGTAATGTAACGGCTTTCAGAAAGGGAGAGGAAAAGAAAGGGATAAAGGGCAAAACCTGTGAGCACCATGTTTGCCATGCTCTCTCAGGCCTAGGAGAGCCCTTCAAAAGGTGCTATGCATCGATCAATATTTAACACAGAATTTAATAATCAAACAAGTGATAGCCATGAAAGATACAGTGGGAAGCCAGATGAAACCAGAACTGGATCCTCCACTCCCGAAGCATCCAGTTTAGGTGGGAGACTAACATAGGGAGAAACAATGTCTCAGGCACAAGTGTGCAGTGCCACACGCATGCTTACACATGTACACATACACAGCATGCTTCCTGAAATGATGACAATGGACTAAACCTCCAAACTGCAAGCCAGCCTCAATTAAATGTTTTCCTTTATAAGCATTGATGTGCTCATGGTATCTCCTCACAGCAATAGAAAGCATAACTAAGACAGGAAGATTTTAGAAACAGTCTGAAAGCTGCATAGAGAAGGGGGTAGGTTTTAGTCAGAAATGGTCAGGAGACTATGTTAACTTGGGACTGCTGATAGCTTAATCTGTGTGGTGAGAGGGGTTGGAGCCCAACCCAATCACTTATACCCTGAGAACAGAAGGCTGAGTTATCTCCAACCCCAACTTCTGCCCAGAAGTTTGAGGTCTGTGATGGGGTAAAAACATAAGAGCATAAGGAACCCCATGAGTGAAGAATGGCTGTCATATGGGAGGTGAGGCTGATAGTGTAGAAGTTGGGGCGGAAGACGAGAGCGTGGGCTGCAGCCTGCAGGCCTGACTTCAGGGCAACTAGAAGAAGATGTATGAGCTTGCCTTGAAAGCTGGGCTGGGTGAATTTCAAGCACAGATTTGAAAGGTCAGCTGAGAAGAGGAACTAGCCATAGACGCCTGCATAGAGGTAGAAAAACGAGAACCTAAGGCCTGAGAGATCACTTGGTGGTTCTAATGTCAGGCTAAGATGATAATGATGATGATGATGACCAAAACATTGCTTAGGAAAACCTAGTTTAGCTACAAGTCCACTTGATTTTCCCGAGAATAATCTCTGTGATGGTCAGGTTCTGATCATCCACTGGGGAGAGCCACAAGTGTGGCTATGACCTGAGTGTCATTTCCTCTCATATGATGTAGGATGCCCTTCTATAATGCTGTGAATATTGATTTGGCCAATAGCCAGGCAGAATATAGCCAGATAGGAAATCCAAGCAAAGATAAAGGGAGGAGGAAGGCAAGATCTGGGAGATACCAGCAGCTGCCGGGGAATCAAGATGTGAGGTAACAAGCCACGAGCCTTGTGGTAAAATATAGAATAATAGAAATGGGTTAATTTGTTAAGTTGTAAGAGGTAGTTAGTAATAAGCCTGAGCTAATAGGCTAATCAGTTTGTTTAATATTAAGCCTCAGAGTAGTTATTCTGGAACTGGTGGGTGGGAGAGAAACCTCCAGTTACACTCATACATGCTGGATAAGAATTCTAGCACCAAACTGCTATTCAGTTTATACACTGAGACAGGATCTTTCTAGATTGCCCCAGCAGACCTTGAATTTGGGATCCTTCTGTCTCAGTCTCTCAAGTAGCTAGGGTGGCAGGCCTTTGACACCAGACCTGGCTCTAACTCCTTCCATCATTTCTTAAGAGTCGGTGTCAAAGATCTGAGAATAAAAGGCAGTGTCCCACCTTTCAAGGGAATGAAGAGCTTAACAGGTAGAGAGGAAATACAGTGTAGTAAGCCTATCTCTGTTCCACCAGCCAGCTCCCAAATAACCACACAGATACTTATTATTAACTATGAAAGCTTGGCCAATAGCTTAGGCTACCTAGCTCTTATAACTTAAACTAACCCATTTCTATTAATTTATGTGCTGTCACGTGGTTCATGGCTTGTTATCTCATTTCCTACATGCCATGCTTCCTCCAAGTCTCCCTGAGATGCCTCCCTCTTCTTCCCAGTGTTCTCTCTGCCCTGAAAATCCTATCTAGCTATTGGCATTTAGCTTTTTATTAAACCAATCACAGTGACATATCTTCACACAGTGTAAAGGAATATTTCACAACAAGACAGTCTGTATTTAGGAGGAGAGAAGACAAAGAAAAAAAATATTCTCTCCATTGTCCATTGTCATCACTCAAGCTAGAGTCGGGTGCTTGCTGTCACAGAGGTGGAGATGTCAGAAGGAGTCTCGATGGATAAACCTGGGCGGTTGAGAAGATTACCAGGCAGAGAGGTGAGATAGGAAAGCCCACCAAAGGTAGGGATGAGTCTATGCAATGACACTTTTGTCTTTATCTTTATCCTACAAACCCTGTGTTGAGTTCTTTCCGATGCCACAAAACAAGACTCAGAAATATCCACGTATTTGACCCTCATTAATATGTGTTTTGCCAGCCAAGAAGTCCAGACGTGGGCAGACATCATTATGTAGACACACTACCTTGCTTTTCCTCAGGAATTTTTTTGTTTTGGTTGTTGTTTGTTTGTTTTGTATTAACTTTGACTTCACCAGGGCAGTACATAAAGAAATCCCAAATCTGTGTTTACAGAGACTAGTGAACCCATCGGTCACCACAGAGGAGCCATGGCTTCAGTTTCCACAGGCAGGTGATAATTATGGTCATGTCTGCCTCCCATTTGGAGAACTTTCAAGAAACTGAACCCGCCTGAATTCTCTTAAAGTTACTTCAGACCTGGATGGATCCTCAAGACATCCCATCCTGTCTCAGAAATGTGTAGCATATTTATTTTTTCCCCAATATTTTGAAGCTAAAACGGAACAGTAGTACTTACACACCTATAACTCCAGAACCTGGGAGTCTGAGGCCAGAACATAGGGAGTTCAAGGCAGCCTGAGTTGTATCAACAGATGTGTCCATAGACCACAAAGAAGCCTGTCAACAGCCCGAGACCCAGAGCAAGGAATTCATTCAAGGATGAAAGAAGCCACAACAGGGGCGTGCCTGGCCAGACCTGCTGAGGTCCCCCTGACCTGAAGCTGCCACAGAGGGCGTGGGAGGCAGAGATGAATGGGAGGTGCCCGGCATGTAGAGAAGCACTTAGAGGAACTGACTGGCCCTTGGCAGGCAGCATCTAGTATACTTCCCCTTTTCCAGCCCGCCTCCTCCAGCCCTCTCCTCTTTCCTTTTCTCTCTCATGCTAGCTTATGCGTCAGTTCCTGAGAGGTGGGGAAACTTCCTGACACTATGAAGTCACCCAGAGGGAGGCTAGACCCCATTCTGAGTGCTAGGTTGGTCCCCTGAAGCCTGGAGTGCCCTGCAGGTAGGGTGAGAAATACCTCAAAATACCCTGCCTACTGGCACACAGCTCACAATGTCCCTGGCTGAGGCCATCAGACTCTGGAATGAAGGGGTGCTGGCAGCCGACAAGAAGGACTGGAAGGGTGCTCTGCAGGCCTTCAGCGAGGTGCAGGACCCCCATTCGAGGATCTGCTTCAACATAGGCTGCATGCACACCATCCTGGAGAACATGCCGGCAGCCGAGCAGGTGAGTGAAACCCTAAAAGAACAAAAGCTCCCCAGAACTACCCTGGGAATCCCCTTCTAAGGGCCCCTGGCCAGGCAGTTTTAAAAAACTCCCAGGACAGGTTTGTTGAGCCACCCGATGGGTGGGGCTCTGCTATTTCAAAGAACTTTGCAGTCCCCAAGGTCTCTCTTTAACCACTCCTGAAGACTTCTTGTTCCCGTCTTTTACCAACTCCCCCTGAACGCGCGTGCTTTCTCTGTCTTACCGCCTTGCACCCGACTGTAAGGTGCCTCTTAAGGTTTCCAGGCACTTAGCATCCCATCAGTTCAGCTCAAGCAATTCTGACCAACACCACAGGGTGCTCCTCTAAGGGTTCTGAGGCTGGCTGAAGGAAATCACACTGGAAATGAATCATGAAGTCTATCAAGGGTATGGGGCATTTCAGCATTTTTTTTTAATCCCCGTTTTTTTTTTTTTTTTTGAGGCAAGATTTTTGTGTAACAGTCCTGGCTGTCCTGGAACTCACTCTAAAAATTGGGTTGGCCTCAAACTCACAGACATCTATCTGCCTGCCTCTGTCTCCTGAGTGCTGGGATTAATTAAAGATATTTGACATGACCACCTAGCTTTTTTATTTACTGATTAATTGATTGATTGCATATGTATGTGTGTATGTGTGTGGGGTGGTGCACCTGTCAAGGTCAAAGGACACCTTTGTGGAGTTCTCTCTTTCCATCTTTATCTGGTACCAGTGATCAACCCAAATCTACAAGATGGCACAGTGAATGTTGTTGTTATTATTATTATTATTATTATTATTATTATTATTATTATTATTATTATTGTAGGGTCTCTTATTGACCCAGAACTTGCATATTAGGCTAGGCTTGCTGGAGATCCTGACTCCATTTCCCCAGCACTGAGATTAAAGGACTAGGCCTTCGCACACCAGGCTGAGGTCACACTCAGGCCGTCATGCTGCGTGCCTTCTACCTACTGAACCATCTCCCCAACCCCCAGTACTTCTAAAGAAGCAGTTCTCGCCAGTCGTCCCCTGCCCGGCAGGTGAACGAACACTGTCCACACGTCCACATCCGGGCAGGAAGAGAAACAGCAACTCATTTGCTCAAACTGTCAGCAAGCGGGTGGGACGGAGCATGCGCTGGCCCAGCCTCTGGCTGGAGGGAGAACTGCCCCTCCACCTTCCCTCAGGGGCCGGCTGCAGAGCTGTGGAGACTAAGCACTGTGGAGAGAGGAGGCGGTGATCCTGGATGAAGCTTTCCTCGCAGGCCCTGGGTACTCGTGCCCTGGCCTGGACCGGGGGCTCTTGGCTAACCTGTGCCACAGGCCACCTCACACACTCTCAGATCACTGACTTCTACCCTTACTGGCCAGGATTTTCTCTCCCATTCTTCTATTGCTAATTCTCTCATCCCCTCTGCCCTTGTTTTCCTGCTTAATCTCTTATTAATATTATATATGTATTCTTGTTATTATTTTAATGATTGAAATATTTATACGATAAATTTATATCAAACAAATACAACATGTATTTTAACTCTATAACTTTCATATTATTTTTTCCTGTTTTTTGATGGGAGTGGGCATTTTGATAGCATGTATGTTTTGACACCATGTGCACACCTGATTCTCAAGGAGGCCCCTAAAGCTAGAATTACAGACATTGTGAGCTAACATGGTGCTGGGAATTGAACCTGGGTCCTTGGGAAGAGCAGCAAGCACTCTTAACTGCTGAGATATCTAGCCTTATCACTTATTTCACAGAGGAAAAAAAAAACTGAGGTTCAGAGAGGTTAGGTAATTTACCACAGGCTATGAAATGAGGAAGCAACACCCCAGGGCATTGCGACCCAAGATATCTGTACCCCAGGCCAATTTTGTCACCTTGAGTTGCTGAATCATTATGACACACCTGCCTGCCTCTCCCTGGGGCTACTCTTACACTTCCTCTCTGCCCTGGCTCTGTGGCTGAGTATGGACCTTTCTTCCTGCAGGCCTTCACCAAAAGCATCAACAGAGACAAGCACCTGGCAGTGGCCTACTTCCAGCGAGGAATGCTCTACTACAGCATGGAGAAGTGAGTGGTCCAGGGCTACCCCACTGCGCACACGTGTGTGTGTGTGTGTGTGTGTGTGTGTGTGAGAGAGAGAGAGAGAGAGAGAGAGAGAGAGAGAGAGAGAGAGAGAGGAGAGAGAGAGAGAGAGAGAGAGAACCTCCATAGGTCTTCCAGCAAGGAATGCTCTACTACAGCATAGAGAAGTGAGTGGTCCAAGGCTACCCCACTGCGCACACGTGTGTGTGTGTGTGTGTGTGTGTGTGTGTGTGTGTGTGTGAGAGAGAGAGAGAGAGAGAGAGAGAGAGAACCTCCATAGGTCTTCCAGCAAGGAATGCTCTACTACAGCATGGAGAAGTGAGTGGTCCAGGGCTACCCCACTGTGTGTGTGTGTGTGTGTGTGTGTGTGTTTGTGACAACCTCCGTGGATCTTTGAGCTGGTATTCCTAGTTCAGTAGGTTCTCTCCAGCCTCAGTGGCTAGCTTTTTTTGGGTCAGTTATGCAAGAAATAGCTTGCAAGAGACTTTACTAGGGAAGGGAGGCAAGCCTGACCTCAGTGTAGGTCATCTGGGGCACAACCACAATGAGCTGTCTGGTTGTGAGCTGCTGGGCCTCCCACCAGTGTCCTTGAGGACACCCACTGTGCCTCTCTGTGGGGGACTCAGTGGTCCCCAAACAAGGGTCCTTGTGAAATCATCAAATCAAATCAATGGCTAGTGTCATCCCTGCTGAGTGTGTCTGCAAAGCCCAGTTTAAATTATTGGGTAGGGGAGATGACCCAATCACAAAAATAAGAATACAGACTATTAGCAGTGTGTGTATAAGTTAACATAGACAAATAGTATATATAGTCTAGCAGAAAAAGTTCACAGTGCATGGCAAATTTCAAAAAGTGGTTTCAAAACATGTGTTAGGACAAAACCCATTTGTTGCACAGACTCTAGACTGGAAGGGCTTTGGTCAGTGTGTCATCCAGTAGGTTCTGGAGGGTAGGGGATAGTGAAGTCCCTTCCCCCATCACACTGTACATGTTCTGGGTATTTACAGTCAATGAAACAGAAAAAGGACACACATACACACAAAAAGAAAGGCAGGAAGGAAGGAAAGAAAAGAAAGGAAAAGAAAAGAAAAGAAAAAAAGGAAAGCCGAACTTGGTGTCACAGGCCTTTAATCCCAGGCACTTGAGAGGCAGAGGCAGGGGGATCTCTGAGTTTGAGGCCACCCTGGTCTACAGAATGAGTGCCAGGACAGCCAGAGCTGTCTTGAACAGGGAAGCCTGTCTTGAAAAACAAACAAACAAAACAGTAGAAAACAAAAACACAAAATGAATTTAACCTTAACCCCCTATTCTCCCCTCTAATGCCCAAAGACCGAGTATATAAATAACAAAGGGATAATATCCGAAGGTGAATTTTAGAAACTCTGGGCAAAGTCAGAGAGCAAACTGACTCTGGAAAGTGTCCGCCTGTATGTCCCCAGGCTCTAGGGGAGAGGAAACTGGCTGACAGGAAGGAAGAACCTTTCCATCAGGGAAACTGGCCCGAGCACGGTGAGGGTGAGACAGGGCATAGAGGGGAACAGGGGAGGCAGCAGAGGATGGCCTGAATGGGGAGGGAGCTGGATGCTCAATCCCTGGAATAACTCAAGCAGATGGTGGAGATGGGCATTTTTGAAGTCACTCTAGAATGTGAACAAAGGGAACAAGACAGGTACCCGGAAAATTGATTTGGAAGTGAACACAGTTGTCCTCACTGCAAATGAGTACCTGAATCGGGGTGGCGCTGGTGAAAAGGGTTAGAAGGAAGGGGATTTCAGAGGCGGCCACCCTGACAAAGGTCAGGGGCAGGCGTGCTTACAACACACAGCTGCTGGCTGGCTATGGGTGCTGGCGAGTCCTTTGAGGGAAGGTGGACCTTAAGGTTCACAAATGGATTTCCACGTGCAAGTCCCCCTAAAACCAGGTGTTAGTCAGTGAAAACACTACCAAAGGATGGAGCAAGAGAAAGGAGCTAGGTCGGGCATGAGAACATGCTGACTTACTGTCGTTTCCTCGTTAGAGGGCTGCAGAGTTGAGGATTAAATCTGGTAGATTAGTTTTCTCAGATTTAACCATCATCATTCAGATGGCGTCCTGCATCTTATTTCTTCTGGGTCTTCCCCACAGCTTCCCTTTTCTCCTTCCTTCCCTCTCTTCAACTTCTCCACCCGTTTGCTTTGGAGACAGGGTTTTACGGTAGCTGAGAATGGCCTTGAATTCCTAACCCCTTGCTTTCAATTCCCAAATTCTAGGACTATTAGCCACCATGTCTGACTTCTTTAGTTCTAGATTTTTTTCCCCCTAAGTCATTCAAAATCTTAGCCTTCCTGGCTCTGAGACTTTGAGATGCTTTCACGTAGAAATTCCTTCTGGCAGCCCGTCTCTCTTTTCTATTGTTGCTCCATCATAGGTTATTAGAGCTAATGAAAAGGAAGGCCTTGGAGTTTATCCTCTGAGGTTGTCTAGGCTGGGGGTGGGCTGGGCTAGCCTCTGTATATAGTCTAGACTTCTGGAGAGGATACTGGATGCAGGAAGCAGGGATGAGAAGAGGATATTGAGAAGTGAGCGACCATACTGTCTACAGAGGCAGCCGTCCCTGCCTCTCCCCTACCTCAGGGCCCTCTCTATCAGGAGGGGCTCTGTGTCTGTGACTTTTCTTCCTAGAAGACTTTGGTTTTACTCTCAGTCAGGTAACTGACCACACCTGTGGCTGCTCTTAGCAACAACTGGGCACTCAACTTTTCGGGCTGACAACACCCTCAGAGCAAAGCCTCCCCAATGTGGCCCAAGGCCAGAACTCACTCACCGAACATGGATTTGACCACTTTGTTCGTCTGGCTGACCAGTAGGTCCCCATGACCTATCTGCCTGTCTCTGTCTCTCCAGACCTGGGGTTACAGGACATTCTGCCATGCTTGGCTTTTATTATTATTATGATTTTCTGTGTTTGAGTGTTTTGTGTACAGGTATGTATGTGTATCCCGTGCATGCCATGGAGGCCCACGCTTGCATCGGACCCTCTGTAGCTGAAGGTATAGATGGTTATGAGCTGTCATGTGAGTGCTTGGCGGGAAACCCCAGTCCCCAGTCCTCAGCAAGAGCAGCTAGTGCTCTTAACCACTGAGCCATTTCTCTAGTCCTGTGCTTGGCTTTGTTTTTGTGAGTCCTCGGGATCTGAACTCAGGTCCTCGTGCTTGAGGAATAAAATGCTTTACAATTGAGCGCCTCCCCGTTCCCTCTTTTCTTTTCTCTTCTTTATTTTTTCTCTTCTTTTCATGACAGAGTTTCTGTAGCTGAGATTGGCCTTGATCTCTTGGTCCTCATGCCTCCACTTCCCAAACTCTGGGATCACAGGTATACACTATATCCGGAAATATTTACAAACCCACTTTTGTTGGATTAGTTAAATGGATATAAGCAAGTTTCTGCTCTGAGGAAGGTATAGATTAAAGAGAGAAACCAGTCGCCAGGGCTATCAGAACAAAGCTGGGCTGGCCTGTGAACAGGCTTGAAGGGCATGGTGACCTAGAGGGGGGACTTAGTGCTGAGTGGGCTGGGCATTCCTTCCCTCAGCAGTGGGGTTTGTTTTTAACAAGGGCCACACCAAGGAAGGTTCTTTCTCCTCCACCACCCCCTCATCTGATTTCAGGGCTGTGTTGCTTTCTTGTCTTCAATTCTAGCAGAAAAAAGTCAGAGGCATTTCTCGAGCCACAGATGGTAGCTCAGGGTGACTCCCTCCTTCCCATCAAACTTCTCTGTCCCCAACTTTGTCATCCCAAAAAGGTAGGGTCTGTAAGCTGTCCTCCACATTATAGACCTTCTGGCCCTTAGGGCTGTGGAGGTGGAAGCGTGGTGAGACCTTTCAGAACAAGGCAAAACTGGCTTAGAAAGGGGGGCAGGCCTTCTTCCTGCTGGGCGAAAGGTGGGCGGATTGGCCTGTCTACCTGTTGGAGATGCCTGGCAGCATCCTGAGACTCTGCTATCCTGGAGAGTGTGCGTATGAACTCTAGGATGCTTGACCGTGTGTGTGTTGGTAGCAGAAGCAAGCAGCAGCTTCAGCGGTTACTAAGGCATCTCTGCAGGGCCTGCTACAAAAATGGCACGGAAAAGTCCTCTGGAGTAGAGCCTGCCCACCCTGGGGGTGTGGCTGCTTCTGAGGAAGCTTCTAGATGGCACAGAAGAGAACTCTGAAGGAGGCCAGCAGGAGCCAGAGCTGAGCCTCTTTTGGGCTTCTCCTGAGTACTGATCCCATGCAGACCTTTGCAGTGGGGTCCAGGGCTGTGTGAAAGCTGAGCTCCTCACCATGGGTACAGCTGGGGTCCACAAGAACTGGGGTGAGGAGAGAAGCTGCAGCAGAGGAGGAGGGAGCTGCCATGCAGATGCTTTGTGCAAAGACAAGTTTAACAATGTGCATTTGGGCTGAGACTGTAGCTCAGCTGGTGCAGTGTTTACCTAGCAAGCAAGAAGCCCTAGGTCACTTGGTCTCCAGCATAACCTGGGAACAGTCCGACTTTCAGGAGGTAGAGGCAGAGGATCAGAAGTTCAGGGTTATCCCAGGTTGCAAACTGAGTTCAAGACAGCCTTGATACATACGACCCTATTTCAAAAGATAAACAATAGCAACAAAAGGACTTTAGCGGGGTTAACCCCACCTAGCTTTTTCACACAAAACAAGCACTCTGGGTAATGCGTCCTTTTTCCTTCACACTGTGGACATCTTGATGAGACAGAGAATGACGTAGAGGGCTTTGCTGAGTCCCTACAGTGCCAGGTGGATTCAGGGCATCTCCACAGCTGAAGTCCACCTGCTCAGCCAGCTCCCCGGGGAGCACGGCACATCTGTTAGAGCTGTGACACTTTAAAGTGTGCCCTCTGGGATTCCCCTGCTCCCCGACAGGCTGTGGAACACAGTGGAAATCGCACCTGCTCGGGGAACAGGACACCTGTGCCTCCACCTGCCCCCCTCCTGGCCTCCTGGCGTCAGGGAAACAGCCACACAGGGCCTGTGCATTCACGGAGAGGGGACCAGGAAGCCTAGGCTCTCCTCCTCCACAGGATACGCGTGGGAGTAACTTTTCCCCCTTTCCCAGAGTGGGAACAGGAGGCAGAAAGGCTACAACCTCAAGAGCTAGTGTGAACTTAGCAGAAGACACAGAAGGAGGTGGCGGGCAGGAGGAGGATGCCCGCAGCTATGGCTGTGACAAGGGAGTGCTGGCAGCTGCGCCGGGCAGCTCCGACCTGAGTGAGGGTGGTCAGAATCTGCCCCGAGAAGCTTCCAAAGAGAAGCAGGGTGGGCAGGGGCGGTACTGCTTGGAGCTCTCCAGGGAGAGTGAGAGCTGGGTTTGAAGGTCACCGGGGTCATCAGAAACTTGAAATTGTGTACACAGCCCATACAGAAGAAAACCCCATGACTGTCATAGACTGAGGGTCTCCAGGGTGCAAAATTACAACTCATTTGTAGAATTTTTGGTCTCAGGGTTGGTGGAAAGGTAGAACTGGTCAAGCGAATTAGGCTTCTTCCAGTGGGATGGATGGAGAATGGAGAAACAGAGAGACGTGGATTCTGCATTTCTTCCTCTGGGACCTGGACAGACTGACTTCCTTCTCCCTACCCCCTCCCGCCCTGCAGATATGACTTAGCTATCAAAGACCTTAAAGAGGCCTTGACTCAGCTTCGAGGGAACCAGCTGATAGACTACAAAATCCTGGGGCTGCAGTTCAAGCTGTTTGCCTGTGAGGTAAGAAGGGCAGGGACAGGAGGGCCTGGAGAGGACATTTCAGGAACACAGTGGTTTTAGCACCTGTGGAGGCCTGTGAAGTCCTGCTGACTCCTGTGCCTTGAGTCTCAGGCACCCTGGGAAGGAAACACCCTGAGATAAGGTGTTTTTCTAGTCTGTATGAGGCCCAGGACCTGATCCCAACTTTGGCAAGGGGAGGAAAGGAAAGAGAATGAGAGGGGAGGAAAGATGGAGAAGGGGAGGGAGACGCAATGACTTCAGGCTCCTCATAGAGTTATTAGTTACCTGAGAGTGAGCATTTTCTTAATTTCATGCTCAAAAGCCTGTGCAAAAACAAGGTCATTGTGTGCTCTGGAAGGGAGACCAGACAGAAGTGTGCCAGCCTGTGAGAATATTTATTTGCAGGAATTTGCATATTTTATTTAGCAGCTCAAGCTGGCAAACTATTTGTTCAGCATTTTACTAACAGATCCAAAATCACGGGTTCTCTCTCTGAGGAACCCATTGTAACCCCTCTGGGTACTTAATACTCAGAGAGAAACTGTGGGTCATTTGGTACAAGTCTGTCAATGAACAGTACAAAGTACACGGTGTGGTGAAGTTCTCCAAACAAGGACAACCTCTTTCCTGTGTTACCAAAAGGGACAGGCATGGCTGGCTTTGGCTTGAGAGTTTATGAACTTTTCTTCCCCAAATAACCTTCTCCATCAAACTTCCAAATATAAACCACTAGCTTTGAAAATGAAAACCCCTGCCAATGTCACGGACCTTTATTTAGAAGCATGGCTGAACAAACAGCATCTCTCTGGCTTCGGTCTCGCAGGCACAAGAAGTGAAGTGTCCCGAGGGTTGCTCAGAGCTCGCAAGTAAAAATAGATTCTATCACTGCCCGAGTCCCTGGGGACTTGTCCAACCTGCCCTGCAGCAGAAGCACAGCTCTGCCATGGCTCACAAGGGAAGATGGGGCCTTGGCTCTGGGAATTGGCTGGCACGAAACCAGCTCCCAAAGACCGTGGGTCTTTGAGTTGGAGCAGACGCTTTGTTACAGGGCTGACCTCAGGGGATTTTTGGCCCTTGCTCTGGCCTCTTCCCACTAGATGCCATGAGCATCCTGCCTCATCTTGTGGTGCTCACCTTGTGGTCTCCAAACACTGCCAATCATCCTGCTGAAGGCCACTTACCACTTCCACATACGGGGCAGCGGGGGGTGGGGGGGCAAACAGCTCTAGAAAGAATTGTGTTCTGTGGTGGCAAGCGGACCTTCACAGCAGGGGGTCTCTACTGTGGTTGGGGTTGAAATGACCCAGCAAGCAGGAAACCAGTCCTTTCCCTACTTCTGCCATTTCTTGTGAAGGTCCCTAAGGCCCTTCTAGTTAGAAACACTGGTTATAGGGAAAGGCCTCAAGAGAAGGTAACCGAGAGAAAAATGAGAACAGCTTTGAAGCTCTTTGTGATCTCTTCTCTGTCCTCACTTTGTGGAAAGGTTAAGGCAGATGCTTCTCAATTTACAATGACAGGTTCTGTCCAGATAATCACCCCCTTCTCTGCCCCTGCTCTGTCTCTTTTCTCTTTCTCTTTCGGTCTCTCTGTCTCTGTCTCTCTCTGTATGTCTGTGTGTCTGTCTGTCTGTCTCTGCCTCTCTCTTTCCCTCCCTCCCTCTTTCTGAATAGGACTCTTATAGCCCAGGCTAGCCTTAAACTTGGTATGTAGCCAAGGATGACTTTGAACTTCTGATCTTCCTGCCTCCCCTCAAGGGTGCTCAGAACACTGGCATGCACCTCCAATAGGGTTTGTGTAGTACTAGGCAGGACATCCAGGGCTTTGCACATCTAAGCGGGTACAATGGAGCTACTCCTCAGTCCCAGTTAGGATATTAACATGGTTAATAGTCTGGTGACCCTAGTGCTGTGTGGCCCAACCCCCCTGGATCCTTTCCCAGACCCTTATCACGAGTCCGAGTCCGTTCTTCTCAATCTATAGACCCCATCTTTACGGAAGGTGTCACGTGTACTTTACAAAGGGTTGCAGTGTGGTCACATCCGGTCTCTATTTAGCTAACTTTGTGCTTTAGTGTGCACACAGGGTTGAGTTAATTATCCCCAGGAAAGTTTCCACCAAACTGTGCTGTGCTTAAATAGGCCTGAAATAAGCCGCGCAGGGTCTGACTCTCAAAATTTGAACCAGCACAGGCTACTTAGTAGTGCTGAACCAAACTACCTTCTTGCCCCCCATGAGTTTTTATTCTGCTTGCTGTATGGTGACAGAGACACCCCATCCCTACCCCTTCAAGACCTCCATGCCTCCTACAGTGTGTCATTTGCCTTCTTTTGTGGTTGCCTGGGTGACCAGTAGGCAAGGTTCTATGACATGAACCAAATTGCAAGAGACCATTGTAGAGTGTGTCACTAGCTCTGGGAAAAGATCAAAATTAAAACTTTGAAGTGCTCTTTCTACTGAATGTCTTTCTCTTTTGTACCATTGTTAAGTTAAAAAATATTATGAGTTCAAATCCTGAGTCCTTGGGGCTGGCAAGATGGCTCAGTGGGTAAGAGTTGCTTGCTGTTAGGCTAATGACCTTAGTTCAAACCCCTGGAGCCACATGGTAGAAACAACGGACTCCTACCCTGGCTTCTGAGCCCATACATGTGCCAAGATTCACACACACACACACACACACACACACACACACACACACACACACAGCGTGAAAAAAAATCTTATTTTAACCATTCTAAGTCAAAGACCTATGCAGAAGGCACCGGCTCATTGGTGCTCAGGAATGGGTGGGAAAGGTGTCTCCAGGTCCACTCCTGGAGGTTAATCCTGCTCCCAGCACCTGCACCAGTCACTACCTCCACGGAAATGCCAATCTCATTACCCAGGTGTGTCTGGGAGGGTAGAATTGTTTGTGGATAACAGGCCTCCATTCTTGCTCCAGACAGCGCAGCTGATGGCCCCTACAGCACACGATCTAAGAGAGGAAAGATAGCGCCTCAGTGCCCCCCAGAACTGAGCCTCAAGAGTCACCCCAACATTTCCATAACTTTGTCTTACTAGTGTATCCAAAAGTGTAATTGGTTCTGTGTCAATTGTGCAGTGTTGTAATGAAATACGCTCTGATGGCCCTACAATCCAACTAAAGACCTGGAAAGTTCTGCCATTCCCTCACCACCACAGCTAGAGTGTCCCCGGGGCTCTGTGTGTGCCACCTCTTTCTCCGGCTGCGCTGGACCCAGACCATGAGTTGGCTCAGGCACGCTGCTGTGCAACAGTCTCGCTACCCATGCAATCCCAGCCAGGTCTGTTGGCTCAGGTACAGAACAATGCATCTGGAACTTCTGCCCACCCTGAACCTGGCCTGTGAACCTAGGTTCAATGGCAACAATAGGAATTAGAGATCACACACCTTCATTTTTCTTCCCAACTCTGCCTCTGCCTCCCCTGGGAAAGTTCCTCTTCCCTGTATTAGGACAACACATTAGTTCTCGGCCCCTCCTGACCTAGTGGGCTGTTCAAAGAATGCACGTGATACTGGCTTTAGACATTATAAAATGTTTTCTTTTTCTTCTTTCATTTTTTTTATATTTATTTATTTATTTTTGTTTTTTTTCGAGACAGAGTTTCTCTCTAGCTTCGGGGCCTGTCCTGGAACTAACTCTTGTAGACCAGGCTGGCCTTGAACTCACAGAGATCTGCCTGCCTCTGCCTCCTGAGTGCTGGGATTACAGGCTTGTGCCACCACCGCCCCACTATAAAATGTTTTCTTAACACAGCCCCTATGTCTGACAGAACTCAGTACCTAGTCTAATTGTTGTCTAGCCCCTGAATGCTGGGAAGGGAACTATGTCCCCAGACAGCATTCCCTGTGTGTGCATGTGAATCCTTCCTGGTACCTGACTTTGGAGCAGTTTCAAGTCTCACGTGGCCTCTGCTCTTCCAGGTGCTGTATAATATCGCTTTCATGCATGCCAAGAAAGAGGAATGGAAGAAGGCAGAAGAACAGTTAGCGCTGGCTACAAACATGAAATCTGAACCCAGGCATTCCAAAATTGACAAGGCCATGGAAAGCATCTGGGTGAGTGTGGTGACAGAGAGGATACCCTTGGGGTCCCATTTGTCTCCTAGGACACCGCGATGGGGGAACATCTCTGTTGATTCTGGCTAATAAACACTCTTCCAACATCTGAGCTGAGAAGCCACATCCTAGAGAACGGATCAGGACAGCCCTTGGATTGCTCATGGGGGGGCCTGGGCAATACCTGCAGTTTCTTGCTGCTGTGTGCAGACTGTGAGCACTGTGAAGATAGAGCCTGTGTCTTTCTGCCTACCTTTGCATCCTTACTGTCTGGCACAGTGCCAGGCTCAGCGTGGCTCCCACAAAAACATTCCAGTTCTATGAAGTAATTATGAAAAATTATTTTTCATAGTTTGATTTTATTTGGGAGCAAAGGTTGTTTTTTTCTTTCTTTGGCGATATTTTATTTTAAATGATGTGTCTATGTGTGAGAATGTGTATGTGTGGGTAGGTGGCCATAGCAACCAGAAGGGTGCTGGAGTTCCTGGAGCTGGAGTTATGTGCAGTTGCGAGCCAGCTGATGTGGGTGCTGAGAAGCAAACTCTAGTCCTCTGGAAGAGCAGAATGTGCTCTTAAGTTCTGAGTCACTTTCCTGACCCCAAAAGTTAGTTTTAAACAAGCTGTATTTAAACACCAAGAAGGGGGCTCAAGATTGTGTATGCTCGTGTGTACATGAGCAATACTAGTCCCAAGAGACTGCTGTCACAACTCTGGCTTGGCTCCTGAGCCACCTTTGTAATGGTGCCCTCTCCTGGGAGAGAAACTCAAGGTACCACAGTGAGGGGAAAGGGGCAGTGCTTTAAAAAGAAGTGGTGAATAACATCAGTGTAAGCTGACTGCTTCCAGTGGGGAACCGGGAGCAATGGAGAGAGTAGGCCTTGTTTTGGAGGTCTCTTGGACACCCCCGACTGATGGTCCAGGGGGAAGTATCTCACGCTTATTCCTGGTCTTTTTATTTGACAACCTCTGACTTCTGGGATGAACATGATCTTCTGTGTGGGATAGCTCCGATAAGACTCTGTTGTTTAATACGGCACACATATTGGTCACAGGACATGGAGAAACCAAGATGGTACTGACCCAGAAGATTTCTCCATGCTGACTAGCTCTAATAATACTAGAAGGTTCTATGCAGGCTTGGGAGAAAAAGTGTCATCCATGGTTTTCCACAGCTGTGAGCCTGGTGAACTGAAGTCATGATCAGTGTTGGTAGGATATGCCAATGGGTGCAACAGCGGCACTGATGCTGGGGGGCAACCACTGTGAATCTGACCAAATACCCATTGTTGAGGACCTTGCAGAGGCCAAAGGTGAACCTACCACTATTATTTTGCTAAATGGGCATAGTATCACTGTCTTAGTCAGTGTTCTGTTGCGGTGAGGAGACATCATGGCCACAACAGCTCTTACAAAGGAAAACATTTAATTGGTTTAGTCCATTATCATCATGGTGGGAAGCATGGCTGTACACAGGCAGACATGGTGCTAGAAAGGAATTGAGAATTCCACATCTCGATCCACAGGCAGCAGGAAGTGAACTATTGCTACACCGAGCATAGCTTGAGCAGAGGAGACCTCAAAACCCACCCCCTCAGTGGCATGCTTCCTCCAATAAAGCCACACCTCCTCCTACTAGTGCCACTCCCTATGGTCTTAGGGAGCCAATTGCTTGCAAACCACCACAGTCACACTGCCCTCTAAACTTGTACCCCTATACCCATAGTTCACTGCAGCTCTCAGTTCTCATCACAGCAGAGTGGCAGATGGTGGTTACCACACCTGGTGTTAACACAGACAATAGCACAACTGGTCCAAGTGCAGAGAACCAATGGCGGAGTAGTGCTCAGCCACAAACGGGGCATCTGTGTCACCACCCAAGCCCAGGGCTCAGGGCCATCACAGAAGAGGTGAACAGAAAAATCGTAAGATCCAGAGGTCATGGAGGATCAGAACGAAACAGTGTCTTACCCTACGACAGGAGCGCTGTACTGAGCTCACAGGTGTGGCTGCCTGAAGATCAAGCCAGTCAACACTGTAGCTGGAGTAGAAAGGCGTTCATGGTCCCCACCCCTAACTGAAGAGCTAGGGACGGTTGGTGGCTTTAGGGGATGGAAAGTCAAGTTTTATTTAAGGGTGTGGCTCCTGGTGGGTCAGCTGTACTCCAGTTGACAATGACACACAGAAGAATATGAATAGCACACGATTGGAATTGAAGGGTGAATTAAACAAAAAAACGGGACATAGCAGAGCAGCACAGACCTTTAATCCTAGCACTCCAGAGGCAAGGACAGACAGATCTCTATGTCAGCCTGGTCCTCACAGTGAGTTCTATACAGTGAGACTCTATGTTAAACAAATAAATAAAGGACACAAAGTTATGGGGAGTAAGGAGGTGAGTGTGGATCTGGTAGGAGTTCGGAGGAGAGGCTAAGCGAATATGATCAAAATATGTTGTATGAAATTCTGAAAGAATCAATAAGCCCAACTGCTCCTGCTTAGCCCTCTAGAATAACAAGCCTCTGTGGTTTGAAAAAGATATCCTCTTGAGACTTTTTTCCCAGTGGTCCATTTGATGAGGAAGGCAGGAATGGTTTCGTCACTCCCGTTTTCAAATGAGGAGATACAGTCGTAAGAGATGTGAAGATATTCTAGTTAGCCCGGGGACCACGTTTCACAAGGGCTGAAAAACCAAGGTTGTATAAGCACACTCTGTAATGCTTACACAATGTCACCTAACAGCACGTTGCTCAGAATGAACCCAGTACTGCTGAGTGACACGTGACTGTTTATTCTATTACAGAAGCAGAAACTGTTTGAGCCAGTGGTGATCCCTGTGGGTAGGCTGTTCCGGCCAAATGAGAGGCAGGTGGCTCAGCTGGCCAAAAAGGACTATCTGGGCAAGGCTACGGTAAGTGGGACTGCTCATCCTCCCCTCTCCTGTGCCCTGGACAGCGTGGGACCAGGTGAAAGGGATTCAAGAAGACCTGTCCTGCCCCTGCCCTGCCCCTGTGGCATTCAGGGATGGCAATGAGGATCTTGCTGAAAGTAAGAAACAAACACTTCCAGTTTCTTCAATCATCCCAGCCCTCCTGAGGTTCCTCTCAGGATGCTGAGTCTCAGAACTGAGGCAGAGGGTTAAAAGCATAGGTAGTGCTCACACTGCTGGGGGGTAAGGGGCGAGGGCCAGTGGGAGATGCCCTTGGCTCAAGACTGCTATAATTCGCTGCTCAGAATTCTGGGGAGTCACTCCCATTTCCACAGCCTACAGCTGGATTCCTTCCAGGAGTTGTCCAGTGGCTGAGTAACTGGAGCTGGTAGGATCACAGAGACCAGCAGAATATAGAACATGGCTAATGGAAATACCCCAGAGCGCCCTCAATACATGAATATATATATACAAGGTGGTATATCCAGACAGTGGGATACTACTCACCCACAAAAAGGATAAAGTACTAAAGCATGCTACAGCATGGGTGAGAACGTACGCCGTCTGTAAGAAGACAAAAACAAATGTCACATGCGAGGGCTGGGGAGACGGCGCAGTTGTTAAAGTGCTGTCTGTGTAAGCATATAGAGCAGATTACAGGTCCCCAGAACCCATTTCATTGTCAGGCAGCCATGGACTCCTGCCTGTAATTCCAGACTCAGAAGGTGGAGACAGGGGCTCTTCTGAGCAAGCTAGCTAGCAAGACTAGCCACATTGGTTAGCTCTGAGTTTGGCTGAGAGACCCTGCTTCTGTGAATTAGGTGGGAGAGCAATTGAGGATGATTCTCACATTAACCTCGGGTTCTCTTTGCATATTCACACACACACACATACACAAATCTGCCCCTTAGGCATAAAACACCACACACACACACACACACACAAACACACACACACGAAAAACGGGAAGAAAAGGCACATACGATACAATTCTCTATAAAATCTTTTTTTTCTTTTTTTTTTCTTTTTCTCTATAAAATCTTTAAGCAGTTTAACCCACTGAGATTTACAAACGTGTTGCCAGCTAGGAGAGGAGAATGTAAACCATTTAATAGGTCTAACACTTTCTTTTGGGATGGTTAAAATTATTTGGCACCAGATAGCATTGCAAAGTCTTGTGGGTATAGGAGATACCACAACATTATTTTTACTTACAATGGTTAATTTGATGTTATATTTGATGCTGAATACCAGCAATAACTTTTTCTGAGAGAGAGTTCTAATCCAGAAGTGGGGCGTGCTAATCCTTACCTTTCGTGTCCCTCTGGAGCCTGCAGAAGAGGCATTGGTTCTGTGGCCTGAAAAAGGAGGTCCTAGGGAAAGGCACAGATGGGCCAGTGGAGCCAGCAGCTGCACGCTCACCCTCTTTGCCCTGTGTTTCAGGTTGTAGCATCCGTGGTTCATCAAGACAACTTTTCTGGCTTCGCCCCTCTGCAGCCACAGGTGAGGCCAGATCTACCTGGGACGCAGCCCCGAGTGAGAGGAGCGAGGATGCCAAGTTCATAGTCATCTTCAGCCATCTCTCAGCAGAGCTGAGGCGGCTGCTCTCTAGTCTCAGTCCTGGTTTGCATGGCTGCTCGGGAATGTGGCCACTTCAGCTCTCTGTCTTACATCTTCTGAGGCCAACTCACCGACTCTTCCAAATCCCAATCTTCTCTTTCCAAGAGATCTGTTGGTCACCTCGGGAGACTTTGACCATTCTCTCAGAACACGGAAATGCACACCCTGGAAGTTTCGTGATAAAGCCTCTTCGTGGGTTCAGGGGTGGGTGGGGGAGGGGTTGTACCAGGGCACAAAGCTTGAGGCTTTGATTCTCTTGGCTCTATCCGTTATCTCATGTGCAAAAAATTCCTTTGGGGACACAAGGCAGGGTACCAGCCCAAGCTGGGCTCAGAGATGGTCCTTAGTGACAGTGGGTCCCTTGCAACAGGAAGATGGCAAAGCAGATTAAGGAAAACCCAAGCTTGGTTGCACAACACAGTGACGGGTAAGAGCAGTGGTCAGCGCTAGCCTAGTGGAGGAAAGGGCCTTGACCCTGGTCACCTCTCTGCCCTCTACCTCAAGTATGGGACAGGATGGTCACTGCCTGACCATGTAACCCATGCTTGGACCATGGGGACAGGATGAACACAAGAACAAAATGAGGGTCAGCATCTAGATTCCTTATATCCTTTGGCATGGGAAAGTTGAAGAGAACCTGGCTGAGGCCCCTTGAGCTCCAGCCCAGCTAGAGGACAACGAAGGAAGTCCCAGATAACAGATTCAATGGCATTCAGCACAGCACAGGGAACACACGTTAAATGGAGACTCTTGTCTGGCCGATGGCGTCTGAATTGATGATTTTAAATATCCAGAAATGTCACACACTGTGACAAACATTAATTAGAGATCAGATCTTTTGGACAATACTGGAAAGGGACAAGGCTCGAGGTCAGAAGCCCTCCAGCAAGAACACCTTTTCTAGACGCCAGCTCTGGGGCATGGCGGTTGCTGTGCTGGTGAAGCCCACCCCCAGGCAAGCTGGCAGGCTGCTGACTTCCCAAATTGTGCCTTTTCCCCAGAGCACCAAGAAATGAAGTCTTTGGTTTTGGATCTGAAATAATGCTCAAATGACATTAACAACTGTTCTCTCTTTCTCTTGTCATCCTCTCCTTCACCTTTTCCGGAATGTTCCACAGACAGCTGAGCCTCCACCCAGACCCAAAACCCCAGAGATCTTCAGGTGAGTTAGATTTAGACCTGGATGCAGAATGCTTACACCCTCCACCTGACTTGCTGGCAGTAAGGACGTGAGGAAATAAAGCTGGTCAGGTCTGAACCATGTCCTTTTCTAGGGCATTAGCCCTCTCCTGTTTGCAAGGTTAGAACCAGATGGTGCAGTTGGTATGGGAGCCTTGGGTGGTGGGGTGGCCTGGCTGCAGTAACCTGGGGTCCCAATGGGCGTGGTCACCCACAGGATGGGAGCTCACTGACATAAAGGAACAGGGCCCAGGTCAGAGGTGAGAGGCTGTTTTTGTCCTGACTACGGCCCCTCGGAAGCTCCCTAGATTCTGGAAGTTATCACAGAGTCTTTTTGTCTGTGTGGGCGCTGTTACACTATTGACATGTGTTTTCTGCAAAAGGGGAAAGAATCAAGAAGAGGAAGTCACTCCACACTGAGACAGAGTGGCCTCACCTCAGCTTTCTTAAGAGCTCCTTCTAAGGAACACAGCAAGCTTAGTTCCTCCTCTGATAAAGGGGGTCAGAAAAAGTGTATGTGGGGGGAGGTACTACAGGTGACCCCAGAGTTGGGGGCTGAAGGGGCTCCTTCCCAAGCTCTTTGGACGGAAAAGAATGAATCCCTCACATCAGACCCAGTGGGCATGAACAGGTGGAACCTGACCCCCACGCCGTGGGCAGTTTCCAAGGCAACCTCACTTACATTCCACAGAGACTCTCCAGGTGTAGGGTACCCAGGGCCTTGCGGGGGTAGGGGCTGTCAGTGAAGGGGAAAGGGCGTGGCCTAACAAAGCAAAGCAGCTGCAGCTCCCCCCACTGTGTCTCTCTCAGAGCCTGGCTCTCCATCCCCTTCCCACAAGGCTGGCCTAGGTGATCCCTCCCCTGGCATTCCCTAACTTCCAACTTCCCCCGTGTCATTCTCCTGGCCGGACCTCCTGTCCACGCAGCCGGGACCTGGGAACTAATGTCTTCGGTAAGCGGGACGGGAGGATGAGGACTGCCAGCCCTCACCATCGAGTACTGGTTCTGGTGCTCCAGTCCCACTATCTTCTTCAGGGTCTCCCTATATAAACAGACTTGCTGCCTGCCACTTCAGTTACCTGAGGCCTACCATGACCCCAAAATAGAAAATTCCAGAATAAATCACTAGTTTCATATTAGGTGTGGCAGCGCTATCCTTAATCCTAGCACACAGGAGGATTGCCACCACTATGAGGCCAGTCTGGTATATATATTTAGGGAGTTGTGAGGAAATCCCCTCCATCTAGGGTGGGGATGTACACCACGCTGTGTATGCCACTTGTCCTCCACCTGGTAGCTGTCTGTCTCGCCAGCGGGGTGTAAAAGGGGGCGTGAGGGGGGTGGGACAGTCTAACTGGACACCTGGGACATGAAAAACAGGAGGCTGGGGTGTGTGTGTGTGAAAAAGGGCACAGGGTGAACATTGGGTTTGAGAGAAAAGGAGGGAGGAAAATCAACAAAATAAATATTTATTTGAAAAATGCCATAATGAAACCCAATACCGTGCATGTTAATGAAAACAAAACAAAAACAAAAACGTGGCCAGGAAGATGCTCAGAGGGCAGCAATACTTTCTCTGTAGTTGGTGACCTGAGCTGCATTCTCAAACTCGCCAAGGTGGAAGGAGAGAAATAACTCCACAGGTTGGTCCTCTGATCTCCACTGTGCGCTGTGGCCCATGTGTCCCCTCGACACAATAATAAAAGCAATGAAGTAAGTTCAATAAAACAAAGCAAAGAACCATATTTCTTGAAAAGGACTGCCATGGTATCATGGTTCTTGCTCAAGAGTCCCTTGCGTTGATTAATGGCAGACCCAGAACACAAGAGCAGTACCGAGACCAGCACTTTGTTTATGCCAATGCTGTGAAGCTGTCTTTTATGTTAAAAAGTGGGCGTTGACTTACTAGGGAAAAGGGCATATGGAGGAGGCTCACACTTCTAACCCCTGCCTTTGAGAGGCAGGAGGATTGTTGAAAGCTCAGGCCAGCCTGAGTTACAGAGTGATATCCTGTCTCAAAAAACAAAGACAAAATAAAACGGATGAATGATGGGGGAAGCGGGTGTTGTGCGCAGGGTGTTTTAGTGATTAGCTGTGCAGGGAAAGGAATTTGTGTTAGCTCTGCCAGCACGCCACAGACTATACAAGTTACAGCCACGTGGGGGGTGTGTTCAGAAGAGAAAGCCGTCAGATTTGTCTATGTAGGTATAGGAGAAGCACAGGACATACAAGGGTTTGGTACCATATATGGGTTCATTCATCTCTTGGGTTCTTGGATCACATTCCCAGAAGACAAGGAAAACGCCTGTGTGGAACACACATGCCGTTTCTCACCCAGTCCCTCAGGATCCTACGCAGGCCAGCACCCTGCACTGGTCTCACAGACAGTAAGATGGGGAGTTAGAGTGAGTGCCAAGCTAAGTCTCTGGCCTCAGGTGCTTTTCCTGCAGTGAGCGGACGAAGTCCGAGCAGAACGATAGGCTGAGTCTTCTGTGTCTCCTTCAGGGCTCTGGAAGGCGAGGCACATCGAGTGCTGTTTGGCTTTGTGCCCGAGACGCCAGAAGAACTACAGGTCATGCCAGGGAACATCGTTTTCGTCTTGAAGAAGGGGAGTGATAACTGGGCCACGGTCATGTTCAATGGACAGGTATTTGGAGGGTCAGGGGTTCGTGCTAAGGGTATAGAGTCCCGGCAGCAAAGGGCAGAGCTTTTCCACAGGACAGGATCTGCTGCATTATCTGCAGACCCGCCAAGGGTCATCGTCCATGTGCCGTCCCTGTGCATGGCTGCAGACTGTTTTGTGTTTTGGGTACTAATGACTCTTTGTTCTTCCTTCTGGATTCTGGGAATGTGACCCTGCAGAAGGGACTTGTCCCTTGCAACTACCTGGAGCCAGTTGAGCTTCGAATTCATCCTCAGTCACAACGCCAGGTAATGTAGGGCCAAGGCCTAGGCCAGCCCACTCACCCTTCCCTCCCTAAGGGAAGAGAGTCTGAAAGTGGTCGTCTCTCTGTCACGGAAGGAAGACTCACTAGCTCTGGGCCACTTGAGCCGGGATCAGATGCCTAGAGCAGAACCTGGGCACAAGGGGAAAAGACCAGCCATGCTTAGCGGAGGCCACTGGACTTGCTCTACCCGTGAGTCCTCCTGGTCAGGGAGACTTAGAAAGCGAAGCCTAACCATTAGAGCTAGGTGTCCGAGGCACGTCTTTTCACTAAGGAGAACGGTTAATGTGTTTCTTGGTACAATGCCATTTAAAAACACAACAAGGGCCAAGCATGTAGCTTAGTTGGCAAAGTGCTTGCGTAGCGTGCAATGAAGCCCTGGGCTCAATCCTCAGCACTGAACAAATCGGGCTTGATGGCATATGCTCCTAACACTTGGAAAGTGGAGGCAGGAGGATCAGAAGTTTCTCATCCTTGGCTCGATGGCACACTGAGGACAGCACGTGGCCTGTCCCTTCACACTGTGTAACAAGATGCACACGTGCAGAGCCCTCCCTGGGCAGCTATGAAACGGAGCTGCTTTCAAGGTCCAAATGCCCTGTAGGTGGGATGTGGACTCTCCCCTTTCTCAGGATACTCTGCAGTCGAGACAGAAGCATTTGAGACAGAGCACCCCACTTTGGTGGGTTTTCAACATGGCCGATAAGATAGCAAAGGGTCTGGTAGGTGGGTATCAGGGTTCTTGTTGCTTCTACGAATTAGCCCTCCTTTCCTTAGTCACCTCCGCCGTATCACCCCAACTTTTAAGAAGTCATTTGCATCTGGGTTCTTTCCAAGGAAGACCTCATGCTTTTTGTCTGTCTGTTCTTGTCACCTCCAGGAGGACACCTCCCCGGAATCTGATATTCCACCTCCTCCTAATTCCAGTGCCCCAGGACGATCCCAGTTGTCACCAGGTTAGTGTCCCCAGAGAAGGAGCTTTCTGGGATGAGAAGAGCTGCTTCCCTAGCCATCTAGGAAATTCTGGTTTGGTTGATGACATTTCCTCAGAGCCTTGTCTTGCTTACACCATCATCCCCTGGGATGTGACAGCCAGGTTCCACCCCCACCTGCTTAGAAGTGAGCGCAGATGAAGGGGCAGTAAGTGCCCGTCCAGAGAGCGGTCACCAGATGACCTAAACCAGGTCCAAGAAGGAAGGTGGCAGTAACTGCATTTTCTCACTTCAGCTCCTTTCAAACCACTGAGTTGTGTGCTCTCTGCACAGCTCTGCAGCTTGAACAAGGGACCACTCACTGGAAGGTGTGGATGTGAAACAGCTGGGTGGGGCTGTGTGGGAAAGCAATAACTTTTTGTTAACGTGTGACTTTTAAGCAGATTCTGACAGAGATGACAGGTGTGTCTGTCCATGCCACCTGATTATCAGAACTGCTTTGATGCCCCTCCTCTATCTATTTGAAAATTGCAGACCTACAGAAAAGCTGGAAGTAGGGGACAATGAGTACCATGCTTTTCACTTAAATACACCAGCAAGATGGCTCTGTAGTTAAATGTACGTGCTGCATAAACCTGGTGACGACTGCAATTACTCCACAAAGTTGTCCTCTGGCCTCTGTGTATATCAGGGTATGTGCCCTCCCATCATGCACACAGGCTAAAACAAAAATTTTAAGTGCAAACAACGTATCAATACCTTTGCCCCTGTGAGTCACTTAAATATAAATTACAGACCCAAGACACAATCTACTTGGATCTAATTGCCCTATGAACAAGCGCAGCTCCTGCCTAAGGAGTACATGTCTCATTAGGACACCACCTATCCCATATACATATGCCTTAGGGGCCCCATAAAGTTCTTACCTTTTCTGTCTGGAGGTTCACGAAAGGACACAACACTGAGAGATTGAACTACCATATTACTAGGCCTTTGGTTGATGTTGGCAAAACCTCCCAAGCGATTCTAAAAATCAGCTGGGTTTGTGATCAACGGTTCTTACATCTTCGGTAATAAACAGCTTCTCTTACGCACACACATAATGTGTTAACATGTGCTTTTAAACCACAAAAATAGTCAAAATTCCAGGACCATGAGATGGTAGCGATTCTAATGTTCCTGCCTAGGGCTTGGGCTCATGTCACCTGACTACTCTCTGCTTTGGGCTATACTGCTTCACCAGCCTTAGGCCAGTCCTCTGATACCACGTGGAGCTGCTGGGAAGCAGAGACTGGCTTTGCTCCCATGTTTGTGGTCTCCATGCTTCTTCAGAGGTTCTTAGATGTTAAAGGGTAAGAAGCTGGACACTGTGGATGGAAGGTGCCACCACGAGTATGCATTTACCATTTCCTTTTCCATTTAGGTCACAAGCAAAAAGAGCCCAAGGTAATGCCTTCCTTGTTTCCAAGGGAAGAAAATGGATGAGTATGGCATGGGGTGGGGATGCCTCTTAGGACTATGGGATAGCAGTGAAAAGGGCTGTACCAGTTGCCCCCCGACACGGCATCTACAGGACAAAGAGCTCTACATGTCATACTAGTGCCCAGCTGAGCAGAGAGCTCAGTAGAAACAGCCATCCCAGTGAGTTGGATTAGAGCTCTCTGAAGGCCTCTCAGGGGAGTGTGAAAAAGTTTTCTATTTGTCCCTCCCCCACTCCCTGAGGCACTCCTGGGGCCCTTACACAAAGTGGCAGGAGGCTGTGGTAATTCAGGATGCTGCAGAAAACCTCCAGCATTAAGGTGTCCTTTGTTCCTCCTCCTGCAGGAAGTGAAGCTCAGTGTGCCCATGCCCTACATGCTCAAGGTGCATTACAAATACACGGTGGTCATGGAGACTGAGCTTGGCCTCCCCTACAGCCGGCTTCGGGACATGGTGTCCAAGAAACTGGAGCTCTTGCCAGGACACACTAAACTGAGGTGAGTCATGAAGGTGGCATCTCAGGGTAGAGCGCGGGGTGGGGGGTGTCTTGTGCTGATGCAGAGTACTGGCTATGGTGCTTTCTGAGCTGGTAACTCTCTGCCTTGCTCGTTCCCCATCATCCCTACTAGCTATCGGCCTCGGGACAGCACGGAGCTTGTGCTCCTCTCAGAAGAAACCATGAAGGATGCCTGGAGCCAAGTGAAGAACTACTGTCTGACTCTTTGGTGTGAGCACACAGTGGTGAGCGGAGGGAGCCGGGACATCCAGGCCATTTCCACCAGCTGAATTCAGCATTTAGCCTACATCTCCTTCATGCCAGGCAACAGGCTCTCAGTGATGGGCTTCCAGGCTCATTCACTCACAGCAGGGAGAGGGTTGCATGAGTAGGCCCAGAAGTGGACAGAAAACAGACCCAAGCTGCCTCCCCTAGTTTGGCGGCTCGAGGATCATGGACATCACTTTCACCAAGGGCAGGATTGACACCATGGCTAAGCCAAGCTCACACACACTTGCTTCACCTTAGGTCTCTATGAGGAACATTTAAGGGTGACAGAAAACAGTGAGCATTTATTTTGCATAGGCAGTTAACAGCCTTTTCCTGAGACTTGGTTATCTACTGTGGTCCTATACAGGTAGATATATCACATGTTTAGGAAGCAAGAGAAAGGTCAAGGGACCTGACCTAGATAACAGAGCTGCTCAGGGGTAAAGGATTTGGCTTCCCGTCTGCTGTCAGTCACCATGCTGTAGTGACAATACAAGGCCAAGCTGTCTTACTAGCCATGAAGTCTAGACAGGAGCCACCTGACTTGAAAGTGAGATTCATGAGTCAGGAGCAAAGTTAGAGGCTAGCAGTGACAGTGATGGGTGAATAGAGAGAAGTTCTTATTGTCACTTCTTATTCTGTCCCCTAAGGGACACTCAAAGTCTGTCAGCCTATGAGTGGATTTTACACATGGGTTGCCCTTTCTTTTTGGTTGTTAAATGGTGTATGCTGTAATGGTAACTGCATTTTTTTTTTTTTTGTGGGTTGGGGAATATTTGCCTAGAAAGAATTCTACTCTAAATGTGAATAATCTCACTTAAATTTTTTTTTTTTTTTTTTTTTTTTTTTTGGTTTTTTGAGACAGGGTTTCTCCGTAGCTTTTGGTTCCTGTCCTGGAACTAGCTCTTGTAGACCAGGCTCGCTTCGAACTCCCAGAGATCCCCCTGCCTCTTCCTCCCGAGTGCTGGGATTAAAGGCGTGCGCCACCACCGCCAGGCTTAAAACATTCTTATAAATGACTACTTTTCCCTCAGAGGCCAATCTATTTGCAGTTGTATGCACAGATCCCCCCGAACTCCCAACAGTCTTTTTAGAACTCCACCCAGGCTCGTCACTGCTGGAGTTCTTTGCCACTGTTGTCTGTGGAGGCTCTAAATTGTTCCCATCACTAATCAGGCAAAGCCAAGCAGACTGCCGTTAACTGTGTTGACACATTCAGTGCACACACCAGCCACATTCAAGTACTTCCCCAGGGGAAGTGCTAGGCCGCCACACTTCCTCATGTCATTCCCTAGTTTCAACATCAGGTATGGAAACCAGCAGAGAGAGGCTAAGCTGCTACTCAGGGACCCATAGCCAGCACACAGGAGCTGGTATACAAACCTAGGATTGGGCTATAGAGATGGCTCAGCAGTTGATAGCATTGCTCTTGCAGAGCACCTAGGTTTGATTCCCAGCACCCACATGGCAGCTCACAACTACCTGTTATTTTAGTTCTAGGGAATCTACTACCCTCTACTGGCTTCCATGGGCACCAGGCATGCAAGTGGCATACAGACATACATGTAAGCAAAACACATAAAAAACACAAAAAACCAAACTAGGTCTGTGGACTTGGTGAGGGCTATTCCCACCTCCCTGCACTGTCTAAGGAGGACATGTAGCCAGGCATGGTACCATACATCCAATCTCAGCACTCAGGAGGCTGAAGCAAGAAAATGACTTCCAGGCAGCCCTGTGCTATCCAATGAGACCCTGCATCAGAAACTGTTTTATAAGTCATGGTTCTGAAGCTTTGGAAAGGATGAGAATTACCTAGAGCTAGCTCTGAGGAAGGCTGGTGTATGTAGTAAGTTTGAGATGGAGCACAAAAGCCGAATTCCTAACAAGATCCTCAGTGTTTGGGCTAGGGAAAGAAGATGAACCCAGCGCCAAGAATCTTAGGGACAGCAGGATGGCTCAGTAGGTAGTCTCAATTCTCAGAACCCATATGGTAGGAGAGAACTGACTTTCCCAAGTTGTCCTGTAGACCAGGCTGGCCTCGAACTCACAGAGATCCACCTGCCTCCACCTCCTGAGTGCCAGAATTAAAGGCATGCGCCACCATCACCTGGTTCTAAGTTGTCCTTTGATCTACACATTACACACACCATAGCTCACATACACACAGTATAAAAACTAGCTAAATAGACTTGTTGCTCAAATGATTTCCCAATCTGAAAGGAACAACACATCCATTACCCTGGGACTATAGTAAGGCAACTCAGGGCCTACACAGAGCTCTGTACACCTTTCAGGTTCGCTTACTCACCCAGAGTGCTCATAGAATGATTTATTCCTATGGTAAGTATTGAGCATCAACTGTTTGTTAGTGGTTTTCAGAATTCACTGGCCAACAAATTAATGAATTTAATAGGCCCCTCCCTTCTATTTCAGGGTGATCAAGGTTTTGTGGATGAACCCAAGGAAAGTGAAACCTCTGAAGCTGATAGCCGGACAACAGAGCCTCAGCCTAAGGAAGGAAGCCGAGTGGTAGCGATCTTCAGTTATGAGGCCATTCAGCCAGAAGACCTGGAATTTGTGGAAGGAGATGTAATCCTGGTGCTATCACATGGTAAGTGCTTCTCCAAGTTCATAGACCAGACTCTCTGATCAGCAAAAACAAGGTCAAGGGCAGACAGAACAAAACAGCAACTCTTAGTCAATAGTTTCAACTGACTTCCTAGCTTTTAGTAAGAGGGAACAAATGTGTGTGGCTTTCTCCTGTCGATTACTCTAGTAGGCACAAGACTATGACATCTCTTATAATGCTTATTTTTACAAATGTACTAAATTCAACTAGCTCCAACTTTTAAGGTGTTGATTAATCACTCACTATGGCATTAACAGCATGCCCTTTCATGTTATCAAAATGAATCCTAGCAAAGCCTAGATAAACGGCTTCTCAAAAACAGTAACAAAACTCACCCGAGGACTCATGTTCAGTCTTTGTATATTTATGGCAATTCACCCTACATTTTACTGTGTTTATCACATCTAGAACAGAACACAGTAAGACTATGTTCACTTTAACCTCAAAATACTTTCCAGTATTATTATTATTTGCTAGCACAAATGGGAACAGGGGAAGATGACTAGCTGGGTGTATATGCCAGCCACTCACAATGATACAATTTTTCCTGTATGGTTTTAGTAATCGATGTATACTTTGTCTTTTCTCAGTGAATGAAGAATGGCTGGAAGGGGAGTGTAAAGGGAAGGTTGGCATTTTCCCTAAGGCTTTTGTTGAAGAGCGTGCAGTCAAGGATTTTGAAGGGACTCCCAGAGAAGTCTAGGATGCTCTATAGCCTATGGAGCTGAAGAAAAGGAGTGCTGTTTTTGCAAGATTTATCCATCTCTGCTGTGTACTATCCAGACATGTTTGGAAATGTTCTCTAACATTTCCCTATTAAAACTGAACCTGTCACACAGAAATGAGAATTTGAGATAAAGATTTCCTTGTAGATGAGAAGGGGCAGATGCATATATTCTGGAAGGGGAATGAAGAAGTCTTATTGGGCTAGCCAAATGTGTTGAACTTTAAAAGGATTCCTGGAGCTGTACGTCAATGGGTGCACCTTTCTGTTATGAAACAGACCAGGATTACCAGTGTCTAAGCCCAATGGCTGAGTGGGAATATTATTCTTCCTGAACCTTAAGAGTTTGGATTCCAGAAGCTAAAAGCAAATTTACATGTAATTCAGAAGACATACACATTGTAAAGAGAAGCTAGGCTGAATTGGGCACCCATGAAATCAGTTCCATGAGAATCAAGCTCTTAGAATAATAGTTCTTTATTGCCTTGTCAGATGGACATTTACTAAGAGTTCAATAGTTGAACATATGTCACTAGCACTTGAATGATGACAAGCTGTGTTCAGGAGGCAGTCTGCTGCCCATTAAGAGAGAAATTCTGCTGCTTTACATGTATTATTCAAGACTAACTCACACGATAAAGCACATTTTGGTGGTCCTTCAGGTTAACTGGGGACAGGGACCCCTAAGCACTAGACCATGGGACTTTACTGCCCTGTCACTCCTTGCAGCACATAAAGTTTTGCTAACTATTTTTCAAGTTTGTAGGTACAAGTAAAAAGTGGGTAGGAATGACATTTTTTTGTTTGTTTTTCAAGCCAGAGTTTCTCTATATAGCCCTGGCTGGCCTCAAACTCACAGAGATTGAGTGCTGGGATTAGAGGTGTGCGCCATCACTACCTGGCTGTGAGTTTTACATGGAATCACAATCGAGGAGAGCGATTAGTCGGTGTGAGCTCTGGTCCCTAGCACACTGTTGAAGTTGCCTTTGGAAACTTTAGACAAACTGAAGAGAAGCCACAGCAAGGCTAAGTTATGTGATGTTTGTCAGAGTCAGTGGAGTTTAAAGGTCAGACATAAGCAGAGCGATGAGCTACAAAACAGCTCCTGCTTTACAGAAGCTGCTCTCTTAAAGAGCTGTGGCAGCCTGTTTCTAACTATCATGTTCTAGAACAATTCACTGGAATGCTAAGAAAAGCAAAAGAAACTCCAAAGCATACCGAGCTGTAGCCATCTTTGCTCCTGCAGATGGGTAAGTAGTTAAAGTTCTAAGGGGTGTTTTGACTTCTGTATCCTTTAAGGCAGAATAAACATTCCATACACAGATCTGGTTGGAGAGAACACGGTTTAATTAAAGGCAAAGCTGATTTCAGCAGCTGCAGATCTTGCACAGACAGACAGGAGAAAAAAAAAACCAAATTAAATCAAATCAAAACAAAACACAAAGGAAAGTTTATTACACAAAACCAGTTGAAGATTCTCCTCCTCTTCCTCATTACCCCATATTGAGGATGGCAAGGCAAGGAAGCCCGCCAAGAGTCATAAAACATTCCAAACACCAAATTCTCATGCAGACTGGGGCTGTAGATGGGAAGTGGGTACTACTGGGAGGGAGCTGGTAAACCTGTTGGCTGGTCTAAGGTGCAAGAATCAGGGACATTTCCAACATCGGAATGTTGCAGCTGTCTGAATGCAGAGCTTATGCACACAAACTGGGTGAAGGCAGCAGGGAAGAAACAGGGAAGAGGACAAAGGTGGACAAATGGAGGGGACTGGAGCAGCACAGAGGGTTTCATTTGCCATTGGGTGGGGGGTTTCACTTCTAGACCTTTCAAAAACAAAACAAAACAAAACCAAGAAAACCCAAATACCATGTCAAACTAAAAGAGCAATATAGCATTAAGCCTGGGGCTTCAAGCACTCTTTCTGAAGAGCAATGAGCACTACCTCACCCCTTCTCATTGCTGGGGGACCCAGATCCCATGACACCCGGGTTCCTGATGTGCTTTGCTCTACAGCTGTCTTCCAGCTCAGTTCCTCCTAACTCCCGCACTCAGCCCATGCCCTCTGGGAGAGTAGACAGCCATGTGTGGGGACACACGCACGCGCGCACACACACACACACACACACACATACACACACACCTACCTCCCAGAAAATAATCCCTATCCTAGCACAGCAATTGGACATTTAGATTGTTTCCATAATTTCCCCTTAAAATATTACTTTTCCAGGAAATGACTAACAGAAATGCTGTCCTTCTGTTCCTACACAGAACATCTTCAGTCCTCTTTTCTCCCAATAAATATGAAATAAAGAGTTTATTCCTTTCTTTCGCCCTTTTCAAAGCGGCGTTCGTTGTGATTTCTTCTGTGCACAATGTGCATTTGTCCCTGTTGCCTTCAATTTTGTTCTTGCGGTGAATGAAGGCTGGGAGCCTGCGATGGGCAGAGGCCTGGCTCCTCTGTAGCGATGCAGGCACTACTGCTTCCTCCTCTTCAGACCGTCTTTTGGGCCCCAAGTGCTGGCCCCATGCTGCTGCTTCTTGGCGAGATGTTGCACAGGTTAGGGATAAAACAATTATTAGGATACAGCATATGGCTAAAGGGGTGGAGACTGGTGCAAGAGGCTGGTAAGCAGGATGGGGACACAAAACCAACTTAACAAAAAATAACCACACTGAAAGCATCCACCTATTAAAATGTGTTCCAGGCGATGAATGGATTAGCCTGCCTTCTGTGAGACTGCTTGCTACGCTACTGCAAAAGTGTAGGAATCAAAAACATTAATTTGAAATCTTACAGCAGCCACCTGCTGGTCTAGCCCAGCAGCACCACCCACACTGCATCCTCGATTAGGGCTCGAGCACCTACAGAGTGAAGGGCATTTCCTGCTGGAGTTTCCAGGCTGGAGGAAGGCCTTCCAGAACCTTCTAAGAGGCCTGTACTCTCCTTTATGGAACACTCCCACTGGCTTAAGAGGTCAGTTCCCTGTCCTGTCACCACCGACCTCTCACAGGAGCACAAACGGGACTGTCTTTGCTCCACACTGACTAGAAGTACACCTGTGTATGGAAGAATTCAGTGTGTTATTTTGCTACTGAGAGTAATAACAATAAAAGATGTTTAAGAGTAATTTCAACTACATTCTCAGTCAGCAAAGCACTCATAATGGATTCCTATTTTATTCCCCAAAGAGGAAAAAAGGACTGAGAAGTTCCTATTGGCTTCTCCCATCTGCCTTCCCTTCTCAGCTTCCACTTCCCACGTGTTGGGGACATGCGCGGTGGAGAAGGTGAGAGGCGTGCTATTAGTAACGGAGTGAAACAAACAGCAGCTCCTCTCTCCTCCGGAAAGCCCCGGGGAACCAGAGTTCCTGATGGGTTTTTTCTTTTTGTTGCACTGCGAACATTTCGTGCACACTCAGCGGGCTGGTGGAACACTTACACCCTCTCGACAGCAAGAAACAGACAAGAGGGCTGCCACCTGCAGGGACTGTGTGGGCCAGTCCTGCAAACCCAACATGCCATGGTTTATGGAGCCTTCATTCCCTGGGTCGCTACTGTGGCCTCAGTGTGGAGGGTTCATGGCACCTTGTCCCCGCTGTTGTTTCTGCTTCTGCTGCATTAACAACTGCTCCAGAGCGGAGGGTCCAGGATGCATCATGGAACTGGACCAGATAGACTGAAAAATAGCCCAGAAAATTGTCAGCAGGTCAAATGTCTTGGTCATCTGACAGGGACTTATTTTAAATCCTAGCTAGTCATAAAGGCATTTAGACATTTAGAGTTTATGTCCTCTAAATCCCAAACAACTCAGCTCTAAGAAAAAGTCACCAAGAGACTCATTCCTTAGATTATTTTAAAACTTCAAACAGTGAAAGTACAGTTTTTAACCCCAAGACAGAGTTTCCATATGTACCCTAGACTGGCCTGGAAAGATTATCCCTTCTAGCTATACCAGTCTGAGATTACAGCAAGTACCACGACCAGATGAAATCATGTTTTAAGTTTTTCTACTAAAACTCATATGGCATAACAGAGTAAGTTTACTATAAATGTTTTAGGCAAACAAAACATTTAAAATTATATACTCTTAATTGGTCAAATAATTATATACTCTTAATTGGTTAAATCAATCCCACCAAGATAAACCAAAATTTTAAGACAAGGATGAAACTAAACCCTTTACCTTTCTGGACACCCTGACACCACACTGAGCTAGCTCTCATGGAGGAAAGCAGAGGAACTTCCACAGCAGGAGCCTCGTGAAATCTACTCACCTTTAAGTTTTCCATGAGGACAGCGGAGGAATCCTCCATGGAGGGGCCGTGGCCTGTCCAGGTGCCACTTGGAGTGCTAGCCTGATGCCAACTGCTCTCAGATGATGATGTTGCTGAGAGATAATCAACGCCAAAACCACCCATGGCTAAGAGATGAAAGTGGGTAAGAATTCAGAATGTCTTATCAGTGGCCAATATCAAGCTCCAGGCAAAGTAAGAGCAAGTCATATCCTTTTTGCCTGGTAGAGAAAGAAATGGGATCTACCTGGTTTATCAGTTTTCCACCGATCTGCAGGCCGCCTATCCCTGTTATCTGGCGTTCCAATGGGTCCAAAATTAGAGAATGGAGCAGAATTATGGTTATGTGTTGGAGGAGAACTGGGCAGGCTGCTTGGGTTAGAGGAATGAGGAGACTGGCTGGCTGGTGTTGAATGATCTGTTAAATAATAATAAATACGGATATTAACAAGTGTTTCACAAACCAAGAGCTGTTTCCTTCGGATGTGGTCATCCAAATGTGAATGAGAGCATTACAGTAAAGCTTTGGAGAAAAGGCCACCGAGGCAGCCTGCCAGATCACTAACATGTCGGAGTGCACACATCCAAGTCCACCTTACAAAGAAAACAAACTGCAGGAAAATTTATCAGACATGCAGTTCTGACCTGTTTCACTTACATATTTACAATTTTTATCCATCAGAATGAGAATATCTTGATCTTAAGAATTATTATAAATTAGACTTTATGAAACTGAAACAAAAGGGGCATCTTGGCAGTTAAGAGCACTGGGCACTCTTCTATAGAACCAGGGCTTGATTTCCAGCA